CTGTCTGAGTTAACCTCACTTCGACTCATCTTTGGTATACTGACTTGTGGCTCTAATTTTTGTTTGTTTGTTTGTTTGTTTAGGAGCTTAATGTCCTTTTTGTGAGCTCTAGCTCGCTCTTCACAGTCAGGTCTTTTGCATTTTAAATTCCCTGTGAAACAGTTCAGGTAATACAGAATATAAAGTATCTGCTGTTAACGTCCATATGGCCATTGCAGCAACAAGGGAGCTTTCAGGACTGAAAGTCTTAATTCACCTGGTCTATGACCTCCTAACTTAGGTCAGAGATGTGGTCCTAATTCTCTAAAAGCACAATGAATGTCAACACAGCAATATGGCACTGCAGGGAAGTCATGCCAACAGGGACTAAAGCACCAGGGTAGCACCCGGCTCTACCACAGGGAACTACTTGGGTCCTAAATCACAGGATCTGGAGCTGAAATAGCAGCATTGCTCCTCCGGTCACTGTTCCCTGGTCAAATAACTGAGCATGTAATGCAGCTGGCGTCAGTGCTGCCTTTCCAGTTCTGAAGCTGAACCGATTGCGGGGTGCTTGAAACCTCACTGATGTTTGAAACAGGCTGGTGGGACTTACTGCTGACCTCCACTAAACGTGTTTTCCGGCACATGGTATTTAATACTGCATGCAGTAATCCAGGCTTAATATGGAGGAAGCAAATCCATTAGATGAATTGTATAAACGCTCGACGTGCTAGGAGCAATAAAGGGCGTTTTGTGGGATTAGATATTAACACTTAACCCAGTAGCAGTCTGTAGTTCCTGCTCATGCTGCCTTTCCCCTGTGTTAAATGCACGGTGTGGGTAGTGCTGTGCTGGCAGCAGATGTTCATTAGGAGTGCAGCTACGGAAAGCCGTGATGTGTGCAGCGAGGAGCCTGGCTCTGCCTGTGGGCAAGGGACAATACGGAGACCTTGTGCTGCCTGCAAGGGCTGCAGCTCCTGCCTGGGCACGGGGGGGGATCTGCAGGAGGTGAGAGCTGCACACCGCCTGCAGGCTCTGGGCTGGCTGGAGCAGATCATCGCAAAAACATTACCAAAAAGCACAAAAAAAAAAAATCCAACTTTTCCTTTATATCTCAGTTTGTTGTTTTTTCAGTGGACGCTCGCTTCTGTTGCTGCTGTGTGTGTTCATAAGGCTTGTGCTAAGCTGGCGATGTTATAAAATAAAAACTATCTTTGCCAGGCACTGTCAGAAACATCGAGCAGCTGCAGTTTCCATTGGCTGCTGTAACAAGCTGCTGGTTCCCCTGATATCCCCAAATCAGGTCAGTTGTTGTGACGCTGGTGGCTTTCCAGGAAATGGGTGCTCCCCCTGTTTTATCCCCCTCCCGTCACCTTTCTGCAGAGGACAGATAGGATGGATTCGCTGTTCCTACCATCGCTGCCTTAAAAACAAGGCGTCTGGGTTTTTCCAGCATGAGAGGAGTAGGATAAGTCGTGTCAGACTACAAAATGTTGTATTTTGTAAGCTGGAATAAATACTGAATTTCTAGACAGCTGAATTTAGGCAGGAATCCTGCTTGTGTTAGTGTTTCCCACCAAGAGGGAGATGGTATTAATTTGTAAGTGTCGCTTCAAGTACGTGGCAAGACCTCTGGAAACTCAGAATCACTGCAATAATTATTCATAATGGCTATCAGGGCTTAATCCAGTGGTTGGCAGAAACACTAGGTTTCCATTTTCAGGCTGATAACATGGATATCAAGTAGGATTTTATTTTTCCAGCATATATGGATTTCACTGTGGCTGTGCCTTACCAAAGCTGGAGACTGAAGGAAACTGAAATTTGAAGTGTGATCACCATTGGCAATGCTAAGGAGCAAGGCAGTGAAATAGGAAAACAGCTGAAATGAGTGTGGTGTCCCAGTAACCTTAAAATGTGGTGTGCTGCAACTTGAGGGTTGCAGTTCTCATTGCGGTAGCTTGGGAAAATGGTTTCTAACTTATTTTTTTTTTAGGGACCATACATGTGACCAGTTATAAGTTGGGGAAAGGGGAATGGGTTGGGTGATCAGTCCACCATCCCCACATCAAATGCATTTTGTGGTGTCAAAGAGCCACGGTGAGATGGCAGCTGAAATCAGGGTTATCGCTGGCTAGTTTATGCTCAGCTGGAGGAGTCAAACAGGTAAATGCAGTCACGGCTGGGTGCTTGAAGGTGTGTGTGGATGGCAACAAATCTGGGGTCCTAAATTCACCTGGCTGTAAGCAGGCTGGGAGCAAGCTGCCCTGCAGCTCTGACACTGGGTGTGTGGCAGCCCCTGGCTGAGCTTGCCAGCTGTGGGAAGCAGCTCGGAGCTGAACTTGCTTTAGATTGGTGAAACTGCTACTGCTTTATTAAAAAGAAAAAAAAAATGGTTATTGCCTACTTCAGTTCCTTTTTTGCCTCTTAGAGTTGGGCTTTTAGTGGGGGGGGGGGGGGGGGGGGGGGGGGGGGGGGGGGGGGGGGGGGGGGGAGGGAGAGAAACCTGACTTGTAAGTGTGGCTGTTGTGTCTGAGCAAGCAGTTTTGCAGCTTGTTTTGGAATTTCTTGGCTAACTTAACCCTCCAGAAACTCAAACAGCATTCAGCGAGTGTGGAGTAGCTCTACGTAATTTCCTGTGATAGCCTGTGTTGCAGAAGAGACGGAGAGTAAACCTCAGGGACCTATTTATAATGCTCTGGGAAAGCTGTTGGTTTCACTTTTCAGCTTCTGAATGATCTCAGTGCAGGGACCTGAAAGTGGCGCTTTTTAGAAAATCCCTGCTTGTAATGCGGGGTTTCCGAGTTCAGGGGCTTGTGGCTCTGAAATCAGGCTTTGTACAGAGGCTCCGTGTGCTTTGTGCTCCAGCACAGCATCTTGACGTGCTAAACACACAGGCTAGCTACTGCCACTGACAGCGTGCCCCTGTGAGTCCCCCAAACATGCGAGTGGCTACAGGCAAGCTTGGCTCTCAGCTGCTTCTGCATGAGCAGAAAAGACTCCTCTAATTTCTCTCCAGTTGCATTTTTCTGGTGCCAGAGCTCAGGAGGCATCCTTCCCATGGCAAAACACCAACTTTCATTAGTTCTCTAATATTTGCTGTTGCAGGCGGGCAGATTGCCCTTGTCTATTGCGGAGCTGTGGCTACAGAACAGGATCTAGAAGTTGGAAACCATCTCCTAGGGCGTATGATGTCTGCATGGCCGTCATGCAGAGAGCCCATGGGTGCTGGATGGCTCAGCTTTCCCAGTGGTCTTCACCCAGCCCTGAGGGCTTCATCCCAGGATGTGGGATGTGGGAGCAGAGGGGCTGTGTGGGGAGGGGTGGGACCTGCTTCCTGAGCCCCCAGCTGCGTATACGGGGTGTGAAGATGATGCTGATAAGCTGCTGGCAAGGTTTTTAGCTGCCTAGTTACTATACCTGTGTAGAAGACACGCATGTAGCTCCTGCCAAGAGATCTTGTAGCTAGCCCCATCCTGAGTTTTGTTGTTTCTTGTATTTTTAATCTCAGTCCTTGGGCTGTTTCAAGCCTCAGATCTCCTGAAATTGCATGTAAGCACAGGAATGGGCTTGGGAAAACCCCAGTGGTCCCGAGAAGTCTGCAGCTACAAGATGCAGCTCTTGAGGTGAAGTAAATCTGCCCTGCCCTTGGTAAATCGCTGCTCTGCTCCCAGTCCTGGGCAGCACGTTTTGGAGCCAGGCATTGTCTCACTGCAGCAGCTGCTTATTTCTGCAGTGGTGTGGTGATAACAGGCGTTTGCCTGCTCTCTTGGAGCAGTGCCATTCACGTAACTGACCTTAAACCGAGGGCTAGGATTGTTTAAGCAAATCCTGAATCGTTTGCTTGTGAGCATGCTGGGGCAAATTCCTGTGGTGGAAGGACTTGATGCTGCCGTAATAGACCCACGTGCCGCCAGTGGCACCAGCAGACGTGCAGCACGTAAAGCCATGTGAGCTGCTCAGCTTGTTTCATAAAGTTGAACAGAAAACCTTCTGTTCTTGGCTCCCCGGCACTTTGGCCCAATAAAAGCTGGGTTACAATGCAAAGGCGTATGCCAGTCTGTAAGTAAAACTGTAGCCAGCTGCTTAATTGCTCGTGATTGAATTTGTTTGCCTGCCTGCTTACGTTTCTGGGACTTGGGACAAAACCTTCCCATACCTCGTCCTGTGAGCAAGGTCAGCGACCACCTCCTGGGCTGGGTGCTTCTTAACCTGTCCAGTTTCAGCCCTTTTTTCCTACTTGGCTGGCGTTTCCAGCTGCTGCAAGTGGCAGGGCAGCACAGCAGCCATACCCAGCGCTGGGATCTCTGCAGCCTCTGCACAACTGATTTGGTTCAGTCTTGCCCCACCGCTGTCTGCCGATCTCGTGTGTATGGAAGGGCAGCGCTCACCATCCTGTCCTATTGGTGTTTGGTTCATCGGGTTGCACAGATTTATTAAACAGACACAAAATGCACTCGGGCATGTTTGTTGTGGCAAGAAGTGTGATGTTAAGAACCCAGGTAGATGGACCAGTTTTATTCTCACAAGAAAGGCAAAAAGCCCTGGGTGTCAGTTAAGCAAGCATTTAACAAATCTTCCCTCTGGAAAGATTAAATTAAAATTTTTGCACTGGCGCACGTAAAACAGGGCTTTTCATCATGGCAAATGGTTTTAGCCTCCTTCTGAACCCAGCAAGCAAACAATATCTTTGTCTTTTCACATCTGTTTTGCCCTGTTGAGCAACAGTTGCTGGATAGTGCTGCATGAATCAGGATGTGGAAAATAAGTTTTGGCTTGTTCTCAGGACTGACCTGGGCTGGAAAGGCTCAGGTATTTAGGTTTTTGTTTTCTTGTTTAGTTACTGTTCTGCTTATAAGAAACTGTGGGGTTATATTGTGGCTCCACATGGGCACTGGTATGTGAAATGCTCAATGGCCTTACTTGAATGTGCATTTTCCACTTTTTCATTGTCATGGTAGCTTGCTGATCTCCTGTTGTGCTGTCTCCTAATTAAATTTTTTTATTTTTTTTTCCAGGCTCACATTAAGTTTCCTATTGACTATCCATATTCACCACCTACCTTCAGATTCCTGACCAAAATGTGGCACCCCAACATTTATGAGGTAAGGCTTTTGAAAGAAGTTTTCCTAGATGTGTGAGAAGGCTTTTTAGGTCCTTAAATTTATGGAATACAGATGGTATTAAATATCTCTAGCCATAACTAAAGTGGTAAGCTGTTTGTATTAAATGTCAGATTTGTGCTTCAGCAACAGTTAATCCTAAAACCTGTAGGAAAAGCTGTTCTTGCAAGCAGGGATGGAGCCTTTCTCCTACCTGCAATTGCAGCCTGCAGCCCCAGCTGAAGCACAGTACTGCAAGTGCTGGCAATTTTAAGGGCTTCTTGGATGAAAGCTGATTTGGTCTTTGGTGTCTTACCCTCCTCTGATACTTAAGCAACTGGTGGTTGTTTGTACACAGTTCAAGGCTTATCCCACTGTTTTGTGTGATACAACAAGATATAACAGGGAAACAAGAAACAATCTTCTGCAAATGAAAGGGTTTGGTCTCAGGGCACTCTGACTGCAGAAGAACCAGAGCTGGGCTGGAGTCCAGCTTCAGGAGTCCTGTGCAGCCTGGTTGCTCTTCAGAGAAGACTGAACAGATAGCTCTGGGCTAAATGTCCACAGGCCAGCTTGGAGCAGCCCTTAGTTCAGTGTGTGTGGGTCATGTTCAAAGGGTAACACCTGTGGGCTGTTGCATCTGTAATTGGATCCTGGTACCAGTATGTAGCAGCTCCTGAAGGGGAACATTTGTATACAAATGCCCTTCAGAAAGCAGCACTCCTTAGCTTGAAAACATCGTCTCTGATGCTGAGAACAGGCTGCTTGGAGAGGCTCAGGGTGAAGGCAGCGTGGAGCAGAGCACTGGGAGGTGCCGTGCTGAGGACGCCTGGTGCATCCTGGCACTGTGTGAGCATGGGGGCTGGTGGGGCCAAGCTGTGCTCCTGTGCCACTGCCTGGGCATAGCAAAATGGCCCTGCGTGTGCCACAAATTGGCTAGGCTGTGTTTTGTTGTTGGGCTTTTGTGCATCAAGTGATCTTTAGCTTGTCAGCATGGCTGAGCTGAGCTGTCGTGTTACAGAGCAGCAGCTCGAGACAGACTTCAACAGTGCAAAGACAGCAAGAAGGAGCGTTTCGTTTCGTGGGTGCGATGTTGCTACTAACCTTAGTGCAATCAGCTCAAAACTACCCAATTTCAACGAGTCGTATTTGAAAGTTGAAGGCCTGTTTTGGAATAAAATTTGACTTAAGCTTTTAGTGGAGGCCGGTCAAGTTCCTGTTAAACTTCAGAATATTCTAACTACGTGTCAGCCTGCTAGGACTGCTGCTTGGAGTAGTTTGAGAGGGTAAAAATTTTTTCACAAGTGTTCCTGTTAGTACAGCTCTGTCACCTTGTCACAGGTCTCTGAGTTTCTGCAGGCTTCCTTTGGGTCCAGTTCAAAACAGGAATGTCACTTCCTCACTGTGAACAAGTAGTGGCTTCACTTGATGCCTTGGGCTCTGCAGCCTCTTTTCTAACAAGCTGCTGCTGCTGGGTGTCCAACCAGAATGAGTGCACTTCGTGTCACACTAAAGTGCACTGATGTTTTAGGCAGAAATGGCCAAAAGCCTGTCCAAACTTCAGTGCAGAGCAGGGTAGTAATCTGTTCTAATTACTGGATGCTTGGGAGGATTGCCTTGTTATGCCCAGGGACTTCCTAAAATCAGCCATCTGACAGTCTCCTGGCTTGAGTTTTGGACTTGACATCAAATCTAACGTGTAGCCAAGGATGGTGTTTCTCTTCAAGGCTCTCTTTCAGTTACATGAGAGCTTGGTCTATAAATAAAGAAAATCTCGGGACCTGCATATTACTGCAGATCCGCACTGTAGAGGTTGTTTCTGAATCCAGAAATTCTCATGCAGGAGGTGAGTGGGAAATGGTTATCAAAGTGGTATGTACAAACCGAATCTTGGAAAGGCCCAGTCCCAGTGGAAAGATGAAAAATTGGCTCTAGGAGCAACTGAAGGTAGGAGGAGAAAGTAACCCAAAACCTGATGGGTGTATTTTGGGGTTACTGTTCAAATACTCCAGCTCTCAGCTTTGTACTTTGTGTTCATAGCAGTATTTCTTGGAGCTGAGGGAATCTGAAGCAGCTTGCAGGCTGTTTTGGAAACAACACTTAAGCATTGAAGATGAGGCACTGGGATAACTCCAAATGAAACTGAGAATAAATCAGCAAAGGGCTTGAGGTTTGAGGGTTTGTCAGGAGGGAAAAAATATCTTTCAGTGTAATGAAGATGAAAGAAAGTAGCAGTTTGCAGAATCTGCTGGTGAGACCAGATGGAGAGGTTGAGGCTGACGTTCCAGTTCTGAGCAGAGACTCGAGGAGCTTGTGTGTTTCTTGTCTCCAGTTTGCTTGGGTCACCTGGCTGGATTTTGGTAACACTGCATTTAGTACTGGGGTTTTTATTGTTGAGGTAACAGGCGTTTTGGTTCTGTCATAATAAAGTATGGGCTAGTTCCTGCACTTTTTCTTCCTCTGGCAGATAAATACATCATCCTCCTTGTTCTTATCTTTCAAAAAATGTATGTAGGATGAGCTCTCCCCTTGCCTGCACCGATCCCTAAAATCTCATGCTGATCTTAAGCCCCATGATGCTTGTGCTCTTCCAGACTAACACAGTGCTGCCCTATTGGAATTATCAATGATGTAACATTAATTGTTGCAAAAAGGAAACCTAACATCCTCACTTCCCTCTTCATTTTCACATTACAAAATATCTGTTGGTCTATGTGCTGCTTTCTTCGTGACACCAGGGACTTCCCCAGTGTGCCACAATGCTTTCTTTTGGTCAGCACTAGGTTTTCCTGGGAGACATGTAATGGAGAAACTGTGTAGGCTAGGGGAAATTGTGAATAAATCCAGAATAGGCCATAGACATAATTTAGCACTAGTAAGGTTAATTTCACCTTAAAATTATATTAAAAATATTTATGGATTGCGCAAGTCTCTTGGAGTCCTGAAAAAGAAACTGCCTTGTTATGACAAACTGTTCCAGCAACAGAAGTATATGCCTGGGTATTCAGCAGCTCCAGGTGCTACTTTGCTTTTCATAGTTATGTTCTTTACAAAAAGCTGCTTCAAAATGACATCGGCTTGCTAAATTAGCATACCTGGCAGGTTCAGTGCATAGCCGAATTCTGGATACCGATCACAAGCCTCCACCGTTGAAGTAGGATCTCATTTGACTGTAAAACAAATGTCATTGTTAATCAAAGTGAGCTGAAACGTTTGGGAGGCTCCTCAGGTGAGCTGCTGCTCTCTGTAGCTGGGATTGCTGCCTGGGGCTCAGAGGCACGGATGCTGTGGCTGAGAGCAGCGCTGCTTTGTGCTCCAGCTGCCAGGGGCAGAGAGTGTTGGAGGGTCCTCAGGACGTAGCTGAGACCTAGTGCTTGGGGAGCTGCCTGTTTGCAGCCTCCTTCCTACAAAGCTGATCCTCAGTTTGTCTTGTTCTTCTGAGCAACCCGTACCTTAGATCAAGGTGACGAGTGACAGCCTTGTCATTCACCCCATCCTGCGTGGTGGCACTGGGACCCCACAAGCCCCTCGGGTCTGCTTTGCTGGAGGACATCAGCTGTGGTGAACATTGCTACAGTACCCCTATGGGGTAATCGTGTCAGGGTATTGTTGCTGATAGAAACCTGTAAAAGCAATTCTCAGTGTTTAGAAATGGTAGGCATTATGAAACTTTGGATCTATATTCAGGCTATAACGCTGGTGAGTAAAACACAGCTTGAGGATTATGTAGCTGTATGGCTTCCATATGCTGCCAAAATATTCTTTCCCTTGCATGCTGGAAGGGACTTCCTGTGAAACCTTCAGGGAGCATCTCCTGCTTCTTTCACCTGATATTTCAAACAGCTACGTCTTCGGGGAGCAGCCTCAGCCTGCCTTGCACCATCTGTTCAACCTCTGCGCATCCCAGGAGAAGCATTGTTTTGATACCTGAGCTAGGATAGAGTGCTAAATCCCTGAATTTAGAGATTCTTGTAGCTAACTCAGTTACCACTGGGGAAGAAAATAATTAACCCTACTTTAGGTCTTGTGTGACTAAAGCTCATCTCTGTCACAATGACTGTATGTGCTGTCTAGAGACTGATTTAGTTTTATGGGACTTTACTACTATTGTTGGTTGCTTTGCTACATTCTCTGAAATATCTTGGCCTGAGATTGTTTTATATCAATTTGCAGACTAAGGGAACCTTTTGAACATATTAATATGGTAGACCTAGGAAGGACTGAGAACTGTTTCCAGTTCTTGTTCATTTTTACTGGCACTTACGGGTGTTCATACCAACAAGGCAAAACTGCTCAAACATAGCCAGAGATGGAATTAAGTCTTCAGACCTTCACCTTGAGCCGGGCTGTTCTCAACTCTGCTTTCTGTCTTTCAGAACGGAGATGTATGTATTTCAATTCTTCACCCACCTGTAGATGACCCGCAAAGTGGAGAGCTGCCATCTGAGAGGTGGAATCCTACCCAAAACGTCAGGTAACAGTGTGAACCAGTGGTGTACAAAGCTGACCTCAGAGGCCTGTCATCTCTCCTAGACTAAAGCCTGTGTTGGGAAAAGGTTTGGAAGGGAATTAAAGACCTCAGGGGGTTTTAGAGCTTGAGTCAGGTAGGAACTGAACTCACCAAGCTGTCTGAAGATGCTGGGGTGTGCTGTGTGTCCTGATGCTGGGTTAATGATGTAGAGCCTTCTGCTGTGTTCACAGGTTTTCATGTTCTTAAAGCAATCTCAGATGTTTTAATCTTTCCCAAGCCATGTTACCCCACACTTTGGTTATGCAAACTTTTCAAAGATACCAACTATTGGAAAAGGATATCTCTGAGTATTCAGGTCCCATAGGAGTAATGTTATGCATAGTGCTACCTGCAGTTTGCCTTCTAATACTTGTCCCTATCTCCTGCCCTGTAGTGTGGTGTGTAGCACTTAGCTACATAGTTCTTTTGCTGCCAAAACCAAACAATCATTAAGTAGCAGAGACATTCAAGGCTGATATGTCCATTTTTGAAACATCAGCTGGATTTCATTCTAATTTCAAGACGCTGCCAATAAAGAACTCAAAAAACAAACATCAAATAGCAAATCACTGACCTGTGCGGCACGAGTGACATAGGGAAGGGACCTTGAACTCAGGTACTTCTGTTCTAACTACTTAATGTGATTCATTATGCAAACAAAGTTAAAATAACTGATCTTATATTTTTAGCACATCATATAAAAAATGTGTTTTTTTCAGAATGATTTATTAGATACTGGTTCCTTAGTTTAAATCTCTTTTCCACTGGTAGATTCAGGGTGGATCCAGCCAGGGATCTCAATCCCTATGAGGGAATGTAGAGATATGAAGAGGGTAGTCTGATGGTTTCACTCTGCTTTTATCTAACTTGGCTTCATGAAATTAATTTGCAAAAAGCCTTTGTCAAAGCAAAGATCTAGCGAGGGGGTTTTATTGGATTCTTGACCCTTGGAATGGGATTGTAACACACTGCAAAGTGCTGAACTAGAACTAACGTGGCAGCAAACTAGGATTTGTAGCAGTCAGCAAATTATAACTGAAGTTCCCTCCTGGAGCATGCTACTTCAAGGTTAAAAAGGCTCAAGAGAAACAGTCTGAGTTGTGTGAAGTTATAAAAGTTGTGTGACGTTAAGGTGAGAGTTGAGTTTTACCTTAAAAGCTTAAGCTAAATGTTATCCAATCCATCTGTCCCAAGCAGAAGTGAGCATGAAGCTCTCTGAAGTTCTAGTCCAGACTGGCTTTTAATTTTTTAATTAACTTAAATAGTATTTTAAACTGTGTACTTCTGAACTGTGTTGAGTTGTCCTTCTGCTCACGTGGCTATTAACCATATCAAATGTATGAAAAAACAATATTTCTCCTCCAGTTGTTAGGACTACATGTCAAGCAAGTTAAACAGTTTAGAAGCAGCTTAGGTCATTAATTACTTAGATCACATTCACATTCTGACTGTTTCATTGTACACAGCACTGAAAGCTTGATGTGAAACTCATCTTGCCAACTATGGTTGCTGCTTTTCCTTACCACGATGCAGTTTTTGGTGCTTACTTTCCTGGAACATTTTGAGCTTAGGGGTGATATCTGGGGAGAAAACATTCCTCGGATGTGTTGGCAAATGGCTACAAACCTTGTCCTTAAATGTTAGCCCACTGCCAGCACCACCCATCGGGCTAAGTGTCTCATAGAAATGCTTCCTGCTGGGGTCCCATCTGGCTTTGCAAGGCTCCAGAGTTTGTCAGATTGGAGGCAGCAGGACTGACAGTGCATGAGGGGAGCATGGTTGTAACGAGCTGCATGTGTAACCTCTTCAGCTGCTGAATTTTGTAACTCCTGCTGAGTATTGGCAATTCACTGCAGCTGACCATGGCTGAAGTGTCTGCAGGGTGGGATATCATTCAGCTTGGAGAGTGCCTGTGCTTACACCTCTAAAGGTGTCAAGCATCCTTGTTTTTATTTTTTTTAACATGGACTTTCTTGTCACTCGGAGCACAATGAGTCAGCCACAAGTAAGTATGGCAAACGTCCAGCAAGATGTGGAGGAATGGTCTGTGATCTGTGTGGCAGAGAATGCTGCTTATCCTTGTGTCCCCAGAGCCATAAAGCTGAGGAACTGGTGGCAGGTCTTAGGAGCTGAGGATCTTTGATCATTTTGGCTGCTGTTCTCCGTATCTCCCCTGGCTCCTTTGAGGTGTGCGATATTCAGCAGGTGCACTCAGCACAATGTTTGAGGTGCTGCTACATCCATACCTTGTGAGGAGAGGTGATGCCTGGCCTCACTGCTGCTTTTCTTCCTGAGGATGCTGACTTTTGCTGGCTCTTGCAGCTGCCGGCAGTATATTGAGTTGGCTGACAGAAACTCTTCAGGTCTAACATTTGACTTCAGCTATACTGATGGTAAACCTTTTCCTTGATATCGGAGAATAAAAATGTGCTAGGACAAATCTCTACCTACCTCTAACAATGGCTTTGAGAAGCTGCAATGTAGATAGCAGCTGGAACAAAAAAAATATCTTTTCAATGTAAGGTATGTAACAGGATGCACTGGTTGGGGCTCCCAACCAGTCTGTGTGCTGTCTGCTTGGGTTTAGATGCAATTCACCTGTTTCTGAACCTTCTGTTGATTCATGAAGAGAAAAAGGCACCTAGCAGAAGCTCAAGGAATCAGCCCTGTTGGCTTATCTCCTCTGATGATAAAGGGATCTGGAAGGTCTTGCTTTGTGAAGGCAATGGCACTGTAAACACTGAAATAAGTAGTGTGGCAGCTGCTAGGGAGTGGCTGACAAGGTAGCTGTTCCCAGAATGAGCAGGGAAGGATGCACAAAAGCACAAGGCAGGCTTAAATCCCTGCTCTTCATGCAAACAGCTTGGATATAGCCTGGCCTGACTGAGAAGCGGATCCCCAAGAACACTGCAGAAGGTCAGTCTGTACCCAGGATGGTGCAGTTTGCATCTGGTGCTGAGGGTGCTTTCAGTCCCCATGAGTCACTTGCCGGTGGTGTTGGGTCCTGTGCACTGGGATCCCGTCTTGTTAGTGCACCTTGTGTACCCCCAATAGCAGGGTTTGAATCAAAGCAGTGTGCAGTTCCACGGGTACCAAAACTCCCGGAGCTGATGTAACACCCTAGCTGGGGATGAGCAGCGCTGCCTCACTGCTCGTGGCCGCTGGCCTTGGTGGTGTGCTTAAGTGGCTTTTTACTGACTTCGCAGTGTCCCGGGCTCCAGCAGAAATCTGCCTTTTCTCACTTTGTTAGAGGTAAGATGGGTAGAGCAGATGCTAAATCCAGCCACTAATTCCTGTCCTGGGCCTTCCCCAGGTTTTGCTCGCTCTAAGCAAAACCGCTGCAGCGCTGCTGGAGCTAACTTTTTGGCTTCGCAGCCTGGCTGGGAAGAATCAAAGGCCTTTGAATAAATCCTTGAGATGAAGTGGAAGACGGGCACTCTCCTGCCCATCATTCCAGTCTGGCCAAGCAGTTTTTTCCAGAGCTGTCATTCTCTTCCTACTGAATTATGTCCTCTGGAAAACGAATCGTGGGAGGCTCTCCTGATAGCCGTGCTGAGCAGGCTGGCCAGACGTAAGCATTTCATTTCAAAGCCTTTCAAGAAGCGAAGCATCCAAATGACCGAGCATTTCCTGGCACCGTATCCCAGTTAAGCGATCAGATGTGCTCAGCACACACCGCTCTGAGTGCACCTCTAAATCAACGTGAGTGCAGAGGGGGCTGTAGGCTCCTTTAATCAGTTCTGCAGGGCAGTGGCTGTGTACGGCTGTATTCCAGGACCTATCACTCGCCTCTGGTCTTTCCTTCCAATCCCATTGAAAGCTTTTGCCAGCATTTTGCACCCCAGGAGGGTGCAGCTGTTGTGGTAGCTGAGGAGAGGTGACACCTGGCCACAGCTCCAACCTCTGCACTTGCTGGGCATCAGAGGGCCTTGGGTCGCTGCAGTCCCCTTTGCTCCCCAGCAGGACAGGCAAAGAGCCCAGCTTTCTGCTGGGGAGCCACGTGCCAGCAGGAGCAGGCTCACCAGCATGTTTCCAACCCTGCACCATCCCCAGGAGGTGTGGATGAGCTGAGTCGGTCTGAGCTGAGCTCTGCTGGCCACCGCCGCCACCGGGACGTGAGCAGCAGTGGTGGGCCAGGTGCCAGAGGGCTGCTGGCTCTGTGTTCCCTCCCCACACTTGTTCTCTTTTCTAGCTAGAACACAAGCTCACGTGTCAGGCAGCAAAGGAAAGGCCTCTGCAGCTCAGTCTAAGGAACCCCTGGGCAAGGCAGTTGGCGCACTCTCTGGGCTGTGCTGAATCGGTGCAAAACTACTTCCAAGCCAGAAGTGTCCCACAGCCCAGCCTGGGGAGGTGCTGGGACCACCTGAATATCTTGCTTTGTGCTAGGGAGCTTCTCCCCTCTAGATTTTCTGGAGCACGTTGCTGTCTGTAGTCAGGTCCCTGAGGTTTGTACTCTATCACCTTCCCCACGCTGCCAGCCATGGACTGAAGTTCATAAATACCTGCTTTCACTCCAGATGTTGGTCAGTTGTGCTTAGCTTAGGTTTTGACTTTAAACAATGCACTGTGATGCTTTTCTGATGCCTCGCCTTAATAATAAAAAAAAAAAAAAAAAGCTGTCAGCATCCAGGACCCATGAATGCTTTAGCCCTAACCCTGCTGTTGTGGTTACCTTTTTCAGGACTATCTTACTGAGTGTAATCTCTCTGCTTAATGAGCCCAACACATTCTCTCCTGCCAATGTGGATGCATCAGTCATGTTCAGGAAATGGAGGGACAGTAAAGGAAAAGACAAGGAATATGCTGAAATCATAAGGTAAGTTCTGTTCTGTGTGAGGCTGTGCTACCAGCCTCCTGCTCCGAATCCTGCAAAACAGACTGCTTGCAGAACTTGCTGGAACCAGCCTCTCACTCTGGTTGCTTCTTTAGAAATGAATCCCACAGATTTATTCCAAGTCCATGTTTCTGGTCTCTAGATTTTTCAGCACAGAATTGGTGCAGACTTCTGGAGCAGAAGGGCCGGGCTGATCTGTCTTTGAATTGTTCTTTTCTCAGACTGATCTGGCACGATGCTCCACAAAACCTATTGGCAGCTAGTAAATCCCACTTGAAGTCCCCACTTGCCTTTGAGCACTGCTTGCATTGCTTGGGATGTGATTCAAACTGACTGCATCCTACTAATTCCGTGCTTAATGCACTCATGAATCATAATCTTGTCCCTCCAATTTGAAGGAATATCAGCAGGATTTGGCAAGCGTTTGCAAAGCTTGGGGTCTGATTACCTGGGAGCACTGCTCAGTTTTGACTGTCCCTTGCTCAGAAGCTCATGGTTCATCAGGTACTGTTGGAAGACGATATGAACTTGAGCCAGGGTGCCTTGGAACCACAAATGAGCAGCTTCCACCTCAGAGTGGCTGCCGTCACACTCGCTTGTCAAAAAAAAAAAACACAACTACATCTGCATTGACTCGGCTGGCTGGGCACGTGGAGCAGAGCCATGGGTGGAGCTGAGCGGGGTGGTTGCTGACCTGAGCTGGGCAAAGAGCCTCGCTGGAGGTTATCTGTCCCTGGCAGCTCGGCTGGCTTCAGCAGAGCTGGCCTTGCTCCAAAGCAGAGCAGGAGGCAGCTTGCAGCCCACCCTGGGGTGCTGGGGAGTGCTCATGTCCCTTTGGCCCCAGGCAGCAGCGGGGTTACCGCTCTGCCTGCTCCCCTGGGGGCACTGAGCAGTGCCAGATGCTCGGGGCAATGCCAGCCTGGGGCACGCCGGGCTGGTCTTTGGTTGCTGTAGGAAATCCCTGAACAGCCCCTGTGCAGTTCACGTAACAAACCCTGCTCTGAGCCCTGGCAGGGCCCGGTGCAATAACCGACTTCGTATGTCGCTGGCAGCGTGGATGCCACAAACAAACTTGGAGTACTCCCAAACCTGGGGCTACGGGAACTAAATCTGTTGCTGGTGCTGCTTCTGGTGCTTCAGCCAGACGCGGGCGGTGGCTGAAACAGCTCCCCGGGCTGCCGGGAGAGCGGGGTTCGGGAGGCTGAGAGCCCCACTCACACTGCTCTGTTGTCCTCCTGCAGGAAACAGGTTTTGGCTACCAAAGCCGAGGCAGAGAAGGATGGCGTGAAGGTCCCCACTACGCTGGCAGAGTACTGCATCAAAACTAAAGTGCCTTCCAATGACAACAGTTCGGATTTGCTTTATGACGACTTGTACGATGACGACATTGACGACGAAGACGAGGAGGAGGAGGACGCCGACTGTTACGATGACGACGATTCTGGCAATGAGGAGTCGTGACCTGCTCCCTCTATGCCCCTGTACTGCCCTGCCGACTCAGGCCAGAAGGGAGCAGCGGTAACCTAGCAGCAGTCCAGCAAAAAAAGTGTGGGGGGGGGATCAAAAAACTTTTGTCTCCTGCTGTCTCCTGTTGTATGGATCTGTTTGCTCCTTTTTTATGGACCTCTTAGAGACCCTCCACAGAATGTCTGAATTCTTGCATTCTTAACCCTTTCATCACTGTATTATGATTTCTTTTTAAAAAAGAAACTCCCCTTTTCACTTCTCTACGAAACGCTCACAGCGAAACAGGTTTGCTCGCGTTTAGGTTCTTGAATTCAATACAGTCTTGCATTGAGATGTTTAATGTATTTAAAGCTGGAACAAACCCATTGGAAGCTGGGTTTTTGGGAGCTCAAGTGCTGCATTTACTGGGAAGAAAAAAAAATCCACACAAAGCAAATTGCCAAGGTTTAGCTGCTCCATTTACAATAATAGCGTGTGTACATTCGTTTAGCCTTGTGGTGGTGGCTTTTCCTTTTTAAGGTGTGGGGCGGAGAGTGTAAAGCTACTGTGTGTTGAGCTTGATGGGATGTTACTGAAAGGTACAGTATTCCTTTTCAGCCTGCTCAAGTTAGGAAATAGCTGGCCCCTGGAGCCCCAGCGGGCACAATCAGCTTTGTCTCTGAAAAAGGCTTGTGATATGAACCCTAAAATAAACACGTAACACTTCACGTCTGTGCAACTGAGCCCTGGGTTGCTATTTATTTTTTTTTTTTTCAGGCTAAGTTGGGGTTGAAGCAGTCCAGGTTAGCTGTGCTGCTGAGAGCTGCTGACAGCTGCCCCTCTCCAGAGGGAGGGCGGACGTCTGTCCTGCTGCCCCCGTGGCCAGCTGCTGCGGCCAGCGCTCATCCCAAACTTGTCTTTGGTGTGGGGAAAGACTGATAGCCTCCTGCCCCAGTGCTTGCGAGCAGCCTGTGCTTCCTGTGCCCCCAGTCCAGTGCTGGCCTGAGCTTTTTTTCTCGTGCTTGTGTAGGTCAGGTGTGGGTAAGCTGTCCTGGTGCCTGCAGAGGCTGCTGTGGTTGTGGCAGTGGGCAGAGGGGAATTGGGGATGCACGGCTCTCCCCCCTGCCTCCCTGGGAGCCCCAGGAGTGCAGCAAAAATCCTCCAGGGTTTGCCAGGCTTCTCAGCAGCATGCTTCAGCCAGTGCACCTGCATGTTCTTGGGAGCTCTTGGCAGAGCTCGCAGCCCTCCCGCGCGGGCAGGGGCATCCTGCATGCTCTCTTCTGCAGAACTCTCTTCCTCGCCACCCTGACCCCTTTGCAATGTGCTCTTCTTGTTTGGCTGTGGTGCAGTGGCCTGAATTCACCTTTAGGATGGGATCTCGAGCAGCAGCCAGCCCTGCCTTCGCCCGCTGAGCCCTGGGGCTGCCAGGAGCTGCTGGCCCTGCGGGGTGAGGCCCTCCCCTCCCGGCGGTACAGAGGAAGTCACCCTGATGAGAGCTGCTGGCTCGGGCGCCTAATAGTGCCCCCACTTCGTGTATCTCAGGGGTTTTCATGGTACGGCACCAGCTGGAGGGGGGAGGAGGGAGGAAACGGAGGCCTGGGGGCTGTGGGATTTGGGGATGTGGCCCCAGAGCAGGCTGAGAGCGAGCAGGGAGGGGAGGATGGCCACCAGCACCTGGGTGCCTCCAGGGTGGGCTCTGCTCCACGTCCCTCCCCGCTGGGGGGACAAAATGCAGCCCCAGTGGTGGCTCCTCATCCCTTAGTGCTCCCTGGGTGTCCTGCTTGTGTGTTACTGGGGCAGTGGCTCCTGCTCCGTGCTAGGGGATACTTTAGTGAGGACACTGCTCGTCCTCCCCATCCCACCGACAGCACCGTGGTGGTCCGGGGGCTGCCCCCGGCCCTGGCTGCTTGCGTCTTGCAGGGAAAGCAGCCGGCGGTGCGGGATGGGGAGCGGTGCGGCCAGGGCCCTGCTGATGACCTGGTTTGAAATGAGGATACTGCATCTTTCAGGATCTCCCGTGTACTTTTGACCGTTTTCACTGTATACTCTCCAGTGACTTGTATTTTCAAGCTTGGTGTTGTAAGATGCGTTATCATGACTCTTCTGTTACCCTTTTCTAAAGACAAAAAAGAAAAAAAAAAAAAAAAAAAAAAAAGGCGACCTATTTTGAGAGCTCCTACATTAACCAGACTAATTTCTCTTCCCCACTGCTCCTTGCAGTGTCATTGCTTGTTGACTTGCTGGTTTCCTTTTTCTGAGATACAAACTGAAGTTTGAGGTTTTTGAAACTATTTAAGAGATTGAGGAAAAAAAAAAATGTTTACCTGATCTGTGTATTCTGGTTTTTCTTAACCCCCTCGCCACTCTCTCAGCCAATATTAGCGTTTACATTTGCAACTACAGCCTCCTTCAAATGCAGTTTTCAACCATTCTGAAACCAGCAGGGTACACTAGATTTCTTAGTAGTTTTCTTAGCTAATATCCCAGATGTTTTCCTTTTTTCTTCAGTATAATTTACCAGAAAGAATTAACTGATGCATTTTTTTTTGTGTTGTCTTCCCCTTCAGTAGTTATATTTTGTCTTTTCTGCACATCTGTCTACTAATAAAAAAAAAATGTGAAATGAAAATATCCCTGTAGTGTTATGTCCCTGGTAATGGAGCTGTTTTATTTGCCTGGGTTGTTTGGAGTTACGAATAACAGCTCCTGAGCTGTTCTGTGGTGGTCTCTAGTGTCACGGAGGGCTGTAGGTACAGGAAAACCAGTGCCACCCATGCAGTAAGGTGAAGGAGGCAAGGCTGTGCCACTGGTGGAAGGTGGTGGGGGTGAGCCCAGGCTGAGAGCAAGGCCACAGTCCCCAGGAGCATTTGCAGCAGCAGGCGGCAAGGGGGAAGCCGCTGTTGTAAAGCCCAGGGCAGGCAGAAGGCTTCCCGTGCCGTTCTTGGCACGCTGCTAGCAGTACGTGAAGGGCTGGGTGTGCAACCTGACTGCTTCCAATATAACAGGCTGCTGCAGGGCCTGGCAGCTGGCAAAAGTGTGGCTCTAAGGAAGGAAAAGTGGTTATCATAGGAAAAGTGTTTTGTTTTTTTTTTCCTTGTTTGTCTTCAACCATCGCCAGGGCAGCAGTGCAAAAACACTCCGTGGCCAAATACAGCCTCGCAGTCACTGCCTGTGCTGCTGCCAGGAACCGTGCCAGGCGCTGAAGGACGAGCAGGGGGCAGGAGCTGTCCCTCGGGAGCCCTCAGCCCTGACCTTGCAGTGCTCGCACACGGCAGCAGCTCTGCCTCACAGGCAAAGCACGGGGCAAAGCTGTGCCCCCTCCTGACCCACCCCATGCCGCAGATCCTTCTCACCCACCCTCGCTGCCTTATTCAGTGCCTCCCGCTGTGAGCTTTGCTCCCTTCGCTGCAGGGGGAAAAGGACAGGCTGTAAAAGCAGAACTGCTCCTGGAGCCTTTGAAAATGCAGACAAACACCAGTGATATGCTCAGACCTTTATTACGTGGAGGAAGGGCTAAAAAGAAATGAAACTCCTAAAACATTCACCGCACTGGTGGAGGACGAGAAGAACCAGGAGTTGCCGCCCTGGTCTTGGTTTTAAAAAAAGGGGGGGAGGGAAAGGTGAAGTTTCCATCCGTCAGCTCTGGCGATCCTGGGCAGGGTGGCTCAGGACAAAAAGAGGTACGAGACACAGCTTATATTTTTATTTAAACCGCTACACAGTTGTGTTTTTTTTTGCCTCTAATGATGCAAAAGGAGGTTCCAGGACACACTGAGCCATCCACAGTCTCTTCCTTGAGAAACAAAACCAAAACAAAAAAACCCTGTCTGTTTTTTTTTATTTATTATTTATTTAAAAATTGGAAAATAAAAAGGTGAGGCTGCAGCTCAGGGCCACACTGACCAAACTGCCCACGAGTTCATCTTCCACAGCAGGAGGGAGAGGGGGAGATGAAAGAAAGGGGAAGGCCCACAAAACATTTTTTCTTTTTTTTTTTTTTTCCTTTAAAGTAACAGCTATACTGGGGGTGGGGGCAGAAATCAAACCATCAGGACATCTTGATTCTTTCTGGGGGGGCTAGGCCTCCTTCTTTGCCTGAATTCAGAACTGCGTTAAATAAATGGGCTCTAGCTCCGAAAAAAAATGACGCAGTTTGTCTTTGACAGAGTTATAAAGCCCATAGAGCTTAAAAAAGGAAGGATGCCCGGGTACAGATGGGAAATGAATAATTAGTTTTCCTACAAAGAAAATAAAACAGGCTGCAAGATGCAGAAAACCACATTTAGGCTCTATTACATTTACAAATACATACATAAATATATTACATACAACAGCAACTCAAAGAGGAAGCGGGCGAGTCACACAGAGGATGGCTGGCTGGCTGCAGTTCTCCCCGCACAGACGTTTGGCTGAGCAGTTACTTCTCCTAATAATTCCAGGAATGGGCTTCGGCTTTTCTGTTTTTCTTTATTTCTTTTTCTTTTTTTTTTTTCTCTCCTCTCCTTTCATTCTCTCCCCCCTCCCCGGTTTCGGATTTAGTTTGTCCAGTATGGAGAAGTGCCATAGGCGGTTTTGGTAGCCTGAGACTTTTGCTGCATGGTGCTGGGCTGGTTGCGCTGACCAGATCCACCCTAGAAATCAAAACAGGAGGAGACAGCAGTCAGCAGTGCACGCGTGCCCCCAGGGGTACATCACCTGGAGGGGAGCCCACAGACACAGCTCAGTGGATCCATTTCTGCTGTGCCCCAACAACTCCGAGCCCCAACATCTCCACGGCTCGCACCCCAACAGCCACCACAACACGAAGCAGGAGCGCAGGCACACACCATCCATCCCACCCAGCCCTCAAAGTCCCGGCCAGGTGCCACCACCCCGATGCTGTCACCCCCTCACTGCAGAGGCTGATAGCTGAGGGCTGGAGTGGGAACATGAGGAGGTGACAGAGCTGGGAAGCAACAACACCAGCTGCCCCCCCCAAAAATGTTTCCTCTCCCTCAGCATCAGTGTCTCTGCACTGTAAAACCTCAAAGGCAGGAGGCCGCGAGGAGAACAGCAGGGCCGTGGGAAGTGGAGGAGCATTCTCAAGGTGAATGGAGACTGCAGCAGCCAAGGATGTCAAGCGTTCAGAGGCAGCAGTCATTGCCTATTTCTGGACTCCAAAGCAGAACGCTGCTTTTCCAGGGAACGTTTTGGCAGGGGCCGACTCACCTGCCCATCTTGCTGAAGATGGTGATGCAGCATCTGGGAATGAGGCTGCTGATGTGCAGGCAGGATGTGGAGAAAAGGGGCTGGAGCATAACCCGGGGCAGCACCAGGGTTCAGGGGCCCAGTAGATCCGAGAGCAGAGGGCAGGCTGAAAGGAGGCGGTGTGCCAGCGTGGAATCCCTGCTTGTCAAACGTCTGCACGGGAGGCAACGGGGACAGGGTCAGAGGCTGGCAGGAGCAGCCCCACGGTGACCAAACAAGAACAAGAGTGGCCTGAACACAGATCCCTGCACCTCTCTCATCAGCCCCGTGAGCAAGCCAAGTCAAACCAAATACCTGGAGGCACTTCAGATTGAGTTCAACTCCTCACCCTCGTTTCTGCACTAATGCCTGAGACTTTTTAATTTAATTTCTGTGGCTACTGTGTTCTTTTTTTCTTCCTCTGACCTCTTTTTGCTTAGTGGGACATAGGGTGGCAGCAGCTGCCTGAAATCAGTCCATCAGACCTCTCAGGGGTTCAGGCTGAATTGTTTGACCTACTCCAGGCACCCCAACAAAAATGCAGGAAGAAGCTGCACTAAAAGGTTTTGTTCCCCTTGACCAAAGCTCTGCCCCTAATATTACGCACATATTCAAGGGCTGGTGTCCTACTCCTGGGCACGGGGCACAGCCTGACACACGCTGGGTCTGACTGCCCTGACAGAGGGAGGATACAAGGATGGGGTAAGGAACAGGCTGTCACCCCACTGCACAGCTCATCGAGTGCTTCCTGCCCTCCCTGAGAACCTGTACACAGAGCAAGAGCCATAGGTGGAGCAGAGTGGTGCTGGCACCCACGGGAGAGACCCTCAGGTACAGGGGTGGGCACTGCTGGCTGACGTCTCTGAGAAAAGCTAACATCCTCTTCACTCGTCTGCTTTGGTGGCAATTTTGACTGTGCTATCCTGTTTTACTTGCACCCACAGCACATGTGAGGCAGCGTGTGACAGTGCAGGGAGCTCTGCGTCTGTGCCAGCAGCTTTGGCCAGGCGTGGACATGGCAGAGGCAGCAGGACAGAGGGCGAGAGTCCTCTCCAGCAAGCAGAGCCAGCGTAAGAAATGCCAAAGCCTGCCGACCCCGAGACCAAGCTGCCTGGGAACTGTCCCCAGCTGCCAGGGCTCTGGCAGGGTCCCACCAAGCCACCCATAAGCAGGGAGCCACCAGGGAGGAGGGTCCAGCGTTCCTCACCTGAGTCTTGTTATAGACTGAGCCACTGATATCAGGCACACCTGTGTTACTTGAGGTCACAGAAACACCTGGAAAACAAAAAAGTACTGACAATGAGAAAGCCAAGCAGCACCCAGATCGAACCCTGCACTTGCTTTGCTCCTGGTGCCTCAGTGGAGGCACCTGCAGCCACTGTCCCATGTGCCCTCCTGCTCGGTGCTCTCAGACCCACAGCACTCCAGCCAGGAGCAGGAAGAAGGGCTCAGCTCCCTGCTCCTGCTGCAGAGCAGGCAACCAGCCCACTGGGATAAATCACCCATGTCCACTCTGCACAGATTACGGCTGGGATTCAAATGCACCTCATTGGGCAGCAGCTGGCTGCGCTGAACACTTTAGGCTTGCAGAAAGCCAGCTTTCCCCCAGGATTAGGGATGCATTTGGCTTTATCACAGCATTCAAGAGCTTTCCAGTAGTGTGCTGAGCAATGAGCCTCAGCAGCTGCTACATGCTTGTGCCCTTGTCCTTTCACATCATGCAGCAGGGTGAGGCCTGCACTGCTCCTCCGCCCCTGCAGAATTGGTATCGCTGGCTCAGGCTGGCTTCCACCTGGATCAGCTGGTGCCACAAAAGGCCCAGGAACAGCCACTTACCAGCAAAGGCACTCTCAATTAGCCACTCATTTGTAGGTTTACAAGGACTGGATCTGAACACTTGGATCAGGTTAAAAGCAGTGGTTCCTTTGG